TAAATACAGACACACAGAAATAAGAGTTCAAAAACTAAGAGAGTGGCCAACTTAATCAAAGAGACAAGTCTGGAGTAGAATATTATATCCCAGAATTTAATTGGGAAAAATTGAATCTCAACAGAAGATAAAGTACATGAGACTGAATTGGTGAAGTATAATTTTATGACTTTTGACTAAAATATTGCTTATTTTCTTGTAGACTTTGTTATCTGGTTGTAAGGATTTGTGTCCTGTCTTGAGATGTGGATAGGTTCATGCACCTACCATGTGAACAGAATCCTAACCTGTTTCCTGGCTTTAAGCATTGTTCCTTAGCATTTCTTTGATTTAAGTTAAAGCTGGTTTTCTTAATAGTACCAAGTGAACTTCCTGTTGAAAGTAATTAGATTATTTAAGAAATTGTGTGATAAATACAATGGGGGGGGGGAGAAATGGAAGACAACTGTAGACACCAGAGATAGTGTGAGAAGAGAGTGGGAAAAGACAGAAGGTCAGAAATAGGGGTAAAAAAAAATTCTAGAAACTAGAAATGGATAATTTTTGATAATAATAAGCATGATTAAGCCACTATGCAGTATATTCTGGATGGGAAATCACAGTTTGTATGCTGTGATGATGCTTAGGGGAAGAATGTAAATTAAGTTAAAAAAAGTTTCAGGAAAAAAAAAACAACTAAAGCTCTTTTTCTTGAAATTAAAAAAAAAAAAGCATTAAAAATACCTATTCAATGACTGCAGTAAGATATATAGCCCCAGCTAGGTGCTACTTTATAGGATGTTCATTCTACTTACTGAGGCTTATGCCTAAACTTGGACTTGTGTTTATGGAAATGTATATATCAGCTGCTCTTGTTAGGAAAACATTTAGATTAATTAAGATCTTTAGTGACTCAATGAAATGTGAGGGGAAAAAAGTATAGAAAGCAAACACAGATACCAGAGACAGTGTGGGAGGAGAGTGGGAGATGGCAGAGGGAATCAAGGATGGGAAGAAAAAAAAGCAAAACATACAGGAATAAGAAATGGAAAGTTATTTGTTGATGATAATATGTATGTTGATGTGCTTGATTGAACCAATATACAGTGTACTCTGGATGGAAAATCTCACTTTGTATGCTGTAATGATGTACAGTGAATGAAAGTAAATAAATAAATTTAATAAAAAATGGGGAAAAAAAGAACACGTGGGAAATATCGATGTACAAATACACAGACAAAATGAAGAAGTGGGAGCAGAGGGTGGTGCAGTGGCAGAACACGATGCTCTGTGAGGCTCGCTCACGTGAGAAGGTTCCAAGTTCACATCTGGAGACCTCCCTGAGCATGCCAGACACATGAGGACTGAAGGCTGGGGGAAGATAGGGCATCAGTACCCGGCTGGAGACACTGGCTTGCATTCATTCTCTGTCTTCTTGCTTCTCTTACTCATGGAAGAAACAAATAAGTAAACTTTTAAATATATATATTTAAATATATACTACAAAATATTTATGAAGAGGGAACCAGCAGTTAGTGTAATGGCTATGTCGCTGGACTCCCACGTAGTCGACCGCAGTTCGCGCCCCGGACCCAGTGGTTTAAAACTCACGCCGGGCGCGTGTGCGTGCGTGCCCAAGATCCCGAGAGGAGAATGGAGGAGAAGGGATTGCAGCGTGACCATCCCCCCTGGGGGGTGATTTCTCGCTTTCTGTCTCTATGTCTCTCTCTGTCTGTCTGGAGAGTGTACACGCCCTATAGCGAAAACCTCTCCAAAAATAAATAAATAAATAAAGTGACAGAGTCTGTGGTGACATCAGCGAGGACGAGTTTGCAGATAACAGGGCCATTGGTGTCACACATCAGGCAGGAGGAGAAAGATGGTGGTCTACACCACACAGAGGGTGAACAGAGAGACTGAAGGCAGAGCTTGTCCATTCACGGCTCCCTCAGTGAGGGTGAATCCCAGCGGAGAACCCAGTCTTAATGAGGTCAGGAAGGGTACGGGACCACATACCCTAAGCCAGGTCATGCTAAAAAGTCCACTCCACAAGACAAGGGGAGCAGAAGGGAGCCCAGCTCCCCAGCTTGGGAAAGCAGAAACTCAGCAGAGGTGACTCATTTGAGTGAAGGATTGGCCATGCAGCACCGTAGGGACCAGGATGGCCAGAGACCCACACAGGATGGAAGATTCGAGCAGAAGTAGGGAGGTAATGTTTGGAGCCTTGATGGGTAAAGGAAAGAAATGCAAACCAGAGCAGCATGTGGGTTTCTACAGCTTCATGGGTAGGCAGGTCGAACGCCAAGCCATTCGGAGCACAGTTTGGGAAGCAGAGACGTCCGGAGTGCGGGAGGCCTGTTCTCCTCTGCGGAGTCGCCAGGAGCGGTGAAGGCAGCGCAGAGCAGACTGCGCAATCCCGCACTGTGCATGGAGCTGCAGCCAGAGCTGCTCAGTCTGGGTTTGTGTGACAAAGTGACACAGGCCAGCTAATTAATCCTTGGACAGTTGCCTGAAACCTGGATGGTATCAGCCTGTGCACAGGGGTTCCCGTTAATTGGCAGGTTGTCTCAGAGTGTTGCTCCCCAGGGCACCATGCCCCGAGAGAAGCAGAACGTGCCCTTATCCCGCCCTTTATAATATATTTATAACATTTTAAATCTATTTATATTATTATTTATAAACAATACTTATATTATTTATAAATAAATACATTTGAATACATTCAAAATATTACTAAATATGTAAATATTGGGTTGTATGGAAAGTCATGATGTAATTTTCTATGTAAAAACAACCCAATATATATACACATATATATACACACATACATATATTTAAATATATTCTATATACTATATATAAAATAGGGAATGTTGGGTTTGGAATTCGGAGACCTGGGTTGCAACCCTGGCTTGGTCACTCACATCAGCAAAAACTCAAGTAGGTTATCTAATCTTTTTATGCTAGTTTCCTTAGCTGTAAAATGGGCTTAGCAATGTTCATATTCTTTTTTTTTTTTTTTTAGAGGTTTTTGCTATAGGGTGTGCGTGCTTGCCAGAGAGACAGAGAGACAGAAAGCAAGAAATCACCCCCTGGGGGGATGGCCACATCGCAATCCCTTCTCTTCTATTCTCTTGGGATCTTGGGCACACACGCACATGCACCCGGCATGAGTTTAAGCCACCGGGTCTGGGACTCGAATTGTGGTTGACTACATGGAAGTCCGGTGACATATGCCAACTGCTGGTCCCAGCAATGTTCATATTCTATAGATTGTTGGGAAGTTTAAGTAAGAGTGTATCCTTTTTTTGAGAGAGATTTTTTGCTATATGGCATGTGTGCTCATGGGAGAGACAGAAAGCAAGAAATTATCCCCCAGGGGAGATAGCCACACCACAGTCCCTTCTCCTCCATTCTCCTCCTGAGATTTAGGCATGCACACATAAGCACGAGGCATGAGTTTTAAGCTACCATGCCCAGGACTCACACCGCAGTCGGCCATGTGGGAGTCCAGGGATGTAACTGCCACACTATCCACTGACCCCAGTAAGAGTGTATCTAAAAGCATCCATCAGAGTGGCTGGTTCATAGGAATAGGACACCTCCTATAAACGTGTGTTGCTGTCAGTTGGAAGCCCCTCACATACCAGAGTCCAAATGGAAGATGCCCCATGCCTCCAACCACTTTCAGTGTGTGTGTGGGGAGGATGGGGAGGGAGGAACATTTGAGAGTTGGGATGCATAGCAGCATGAGAAAAACTATTTGCAATTGTGTTGTCTGTTAAAATGCAAATGTCTTTTTACATTTTTTGGCAAGAATGCTCATGAAATAGCATATGCTGGGACCCTGGGTCATCACGTACAGGGGAGAAGAACAGAGAGAAGGTGCAGAGGAAAAGGTTTTAAGAGCTAAAAACGAGCTTTACCCACCACTCAGGGTGTCTAATAGTTCCTGAGTCCTCTTGCCCTGTGGCCCTAGAGAGGTCACACATACCACATGGTGCTGAAGTCAGAAGACTTAAGTTTGAGACTCGTCTCTGACATCCACCAGGTGTATGAGCTGGAAGAGGCACTTCGGCACTCTGGGCCCTGGTTCCATACTGGAATGGGGGAGGGATAAACATGCCTGCCTCACAAAGGCATAAACAATGAACAAGAGATTAATTTTTTGTAATAGCTTGAGATATAATTCCCATAACCATGCAATCCACTCTTTTAATGTACACAATTCTATTGTTTTTAGTATATGCATGGTGTTGTACAACCATCACCACCATCTCACATTAGAACAGTTTTATCCCCCTCCCCAAAGAACCTGTAGCCATTATCAGTCACTCTCCATTCTCCCTCCCAAGAGGTTTGCTTTTGAACTGTTTGGCGTGGTGTCCGTTCTGAGCAGTATGGGGAACAGTAGGTCATTGCTGTACAGGTGTCCGTAGTGTGCTTATAAGTAATGTCACAATTATTTTTCAGATTTGGTGAAAACTGTCTTGAGGGTACAGTCAGGAGTAAGCTTAGCAGGAGAATATAGCAACAAAAAGGCTTAAAGAACACAGTCTGGGGGCCAGCAGGTGGTGTGGTGCTTAAGGCGCTGGACTCCCATGTGGCCAACCACAGTTCAAGTCCCAGACATGGAGGCTTGATAATCATACTGGCATATATGCATGCATGCCCCAATTCCTGAGAGCAGAATGGAAGAGAAGGGGCTGTGGCATGGCCATCCTAACGGGAGTGTGATGCCTCTCTTTCTTTTTCACCGTCGCTTTCTTTCTCTGACAAGCTCATGTGCCTTATGGTAAAAACCTTAAAAAAACAAAACAAAACAAAACAAAACAAAAAAACAAGCAAACAAACCAACCACAGTTTAGTTCTTCCATAGAATAGTCCAAGTAGCTTTAGATAGCTCATTTCTCCAGGGTGTAGCCTTCTTCCTCAGGGTCAAAAATATCAGCAAGCGCTCCAGCCATTGTATCTGTGTTCCAGATAGCAGTATTAAGGACAGAATTAAGGTTTCACGCCATTGGTTTTCAAGAAAACTTCTCAGAAGCTGCCACAAACACTGTACTAATACATCTCATTAGCCAGAACTCACTTACATAGCCACATCTACCTTCCAGGGAGGGCTGGGGAATTCAGCCTTATTTCAAACAGCCAGTTAAAAAGGTGGATTTCCATTATTACAAAAGAAAGGGTAAATAGATATTAGTGGATATATCAGTCACCAGTAATAATTCTGTAAGCTGTAATAGTTCTTCATAGTGAGCCACCCTAAAATTCAGTGGTGTGCAATGAGATTTCCTTTTCCTTTTTCTTTTTTTCTAAGAGGTTTTTGCCTAAGAGTGCATGTCCTCACCAGAGAGAGAGACAGACACAGTGAGAGGGACTGTGAGAAATTACTCCCCAGAGGGCATTGCCACACAGCAATCCCTTCTCCATTCCCCTCCCAGGATCTTGAGTACGCACACACAGGTGCCCAGTGTGTTTCAAGCCAGTGAGTCAGGACTCGAACCGCAGTCAGCCATGTGGGAGTCCACTAACATAACTGCTACGCCATCTGCTGGTCCTGAAATGTTCTTTTTCTTGCTCTCAGGTCTCTGGGCAGTCTGGGAAGCTCTATATCAAGCTCCAGGGCAGCTGGGCTTGGTTTCAGGCTTCGAGTTGGCCCGTGCCTATCTGTCTCCACAATTTCCTCGGACCAGCGCTACCAGAGCATATTCTCTTGATGATAAACAGCAAGAGCACAGGACGTGGAGCAGAGACACGATGCCTCTTGAGACTGTTTGAATCACTCCTTCCCACACTCCATCGGCTCAGGCAAGTCACGCCGCCAAGCTGACACCAATGGAAGGAGGTAGATTCTGCTCAGGCTAATGGCTAATACTCACAATCACATGGCAAAGGATGGGAGTGTAAAATTCGAACACAGGAAGCATCTGAAGAGTGGTGACCGATGATTCATTCAGAGGACAACCAGCTGTGCCAGGAAACCCAGTAGCTGTCATTTTGGTCTCTGGAGGCCTCCCGAGAGCCTGCTACTGCGGCTAACTCTACAGTCTAGCTCCAATGCTGCTGGGCTCACTTTCTAGGTGACAGACTAAGCCAGCCCTGCCTTTCGAGTAAGTTTCTTGGGTTGCCAGTCCTAGCTGTGACTTAACCGCCCACTGCGCAACCTCCCCTCTGAGGTCTCGGCAAGAGAAGCAGAAACTCTCAGGGCTCAGGACTCCTCTACGTGGGACGGGCAGCCATTTTCCTTTGCTCGAGGTCCCAAGAGGCTGGACAGGGTCAGACCTCTTTTTTCCTGTTTGATCCCTCCGAACACAAAATCTTTCTCTTGTCACTTCCTATTATGATAGGGCTCCGAGATCCATCTACAAAAGAATGAAGGCCCAGGCAGGCAGGCCCTCTAGTCACAGGAAGTGCGAGTCACAGGAAGTGCCGTTCAG